CTTTAGATATTCCCTATGGCAAGAAAAAAGGCCCTTGAGATAAAGGTGCAACTTCCCTCCCCCTCCCAACGTTGGCATATCCCTTAAGGATTAAGCATCTTTCCTTAGGCTAGGAACTGATTGCTGCGCTCACCTGTGACCACCCAGCTCAGACAATAGGCTTGCCTCCTGCTATGCCCTCCGAGATAGCAGACCCACTACCTGCTGTGTCCATCAAGCGCTGTGCAGACAGGGCAATCTTGTGACTATTGTGGGAGGGACATTTCAATCCTATGTGAAACATCCTGTTTGTGGGTATATAACCACTCTGTATACCTCACTTCTTTGGTGCCCTTTCTTTCTTTGAGAAGAAAGGCCCAGGGCCATGGTCTTCAGATTTCAGCTCAGAAGAAACTCTCCTAAATTTTCATTTATAGATTGCTTATGGATTATTTTCGTCGACATGGTTTTGCTGTACAATAAAGAACCCCCTAGATCTCAGGGCTTATAATAACGAAAATCTGGTTTCTCTTCTTGTTACCTGAAGCCTACAGGGCAGCAAGGGCTCTGCTCAGGCTGGGGGTTGCCTCCAGCTCAGTTCCGTGGGTCTTCTCGGTCTGTGATGCGTTCAGTGCAGCCTGTGTGCAATGTGCTGGTCTTCTGGCCGAAGACCTGAGTGCGGGAGACCAGCTCAGCTGTGCGGTCACCTTCAACTCCTGCAGGGATGTGGCTCCCATAGGCCTATGGCCAGAGCAGTTTGCCGGGTCAGGCCTGGCAATAGGGAAATTTACTGGCCCTAGAGGGAGGTGTGGCAAGGGTGTGAATGCATGATCCTTTTACAGAAAGTGCTGAACAGTAATGTAAATTATCGTGAGGATGTTCTAACCGTGCTAACTCCAGGGCCCTTCTGCAGCTATTTTAATGCAATAGGTCAGAGTAAGTAGTAACAATAGTAGTAATAATAATAATAAAATAATAGCCAACATTATTTTTTTCCTTTTATGGGCCAAACACTGTGTTAATTGCTTAAATGAATGAGGTTTAATCCTTATGACCACTGTGTGCGGTAGAAACAATTATGATTTCCATTTTATGGATGAGGAAAGGAAGCTGAGAGAGGGTCATAAACTTCCCCAGTTCACACAGCTGGTAAATGGTGGAGCAGGGCTATAGACCTGTGGCATATAACTCCTGGGCCTCAAGTCTTTTTCAGTTTCTCTAATATGCCAACTCCTGCCTCAGGGCCTTTGCACTTCCTTTCCTCTCAGCCTAAGTAACATTTTTTCCCATTCATACTTCATTTCTCTAGTTTCAGCAGAAATGTCACTTCCCCAGAGAGACTCCCTGACCTTGGCTCCTGACTGACCACTCTGTGGTTTTCTCAGCCTCATCTGACCTTCTGTGCTATGTTGAATATGCTTGATGGAGAGCCCAACCTCCTGCAGTCACCTGGCCTCCTAACTCTTCAGGTGGTGTCAGCCCTCCTCAGGGAACAGGAAATGGAAGGAGCCAGCAGATAGATCTTTCACTCTCCCTCCTGGATGGAGTCCCCAAGTCACAGATGCTCTGATGGCCCATTTGTCTGAGCCAGTAGCTGTATTTTCCTACAAGGCAGGTGCCACCTTGGTAAATGCCGCCCATGTCCGCTTTCCCCCACCCCTTCCTCATTCTCCTGTTCCTTTTCTCTTGCTGTCCTAGACCGCACCTCCCACTGAAGCCTTACCAAGGAAGCTTTACTGCAGGCTTGCTGTCTTGGGAAGCCAGCCTAAAGGCTCCCCCTTCGCACCTAAACTTGACCCCCGTTTTTTCTCTCTCTAGCGCTCTATCCTTTTCTCTCACAGCTTGGTAATCATATATAACATATACATTTGTGTGATTATCTGTTTGACAACGATCTCTCTCCATCCACCGCGAGCTCCAAAAGGCAAAGATTGTACCGTGTTGTTTCGCACTGTGTTCCTGCACTTGGCGCGTGCTCAGCACTTAGCGGTTGGTCAATAAATGTTCATAAATGAATGCCCATGTCTGGGCTTGAATCCTTGCTTGGTCTGTGCTGCCTTTGGCAAGTTATTAAAAGCCTCTAAGCTTCACTTTTCTTCCTTTTTGGAAAAATGGAGTTGAGTACCTACTTCAAAGGTACTGAGACCTAAACGTTGTGATAAAAGTAGATGTTTAATAACATAATAATTGGTGATATTATTATACTAGACCAGTGGCCAGCAATCTTTCCCTGTAAAGGACCAAATAGTAAACATTTTAGGCTTTGTGGGACAAATGATCTCTATCACAAAGACTCAACTCTGCCTCTGCAGCATGAAAACAGCCATTGACAGTATGTGAACAAACAGGCATGGCTGTGTTCCAATAAAGCTTTATTTACAAAAGCAGATGACAGGCCAGATTTGGCCCTCAGGTCATCGTTTGCAGGCCCCTGTACTATATGGTCTGAGCAGCGTGAATCTAAAAGGTTGTGCTAAGTCACGTCAACAGAGCGCATGTGTTCTTGAACTTTCTAGGCAAAGCTTATCCCTTCGTTTCTTTCCAGTGTTAAAGATGAGCAGTATTTTCCTGACAGTGACAGTGTACTCACAGGGAAATCTGTGTCCTCAGAGTTTGTGTTTGTTTATGATATGTCTCTAACAAGTGTGAGTGGTGAGAGCCCTCCACATATTTTCCCTCTGACTCCTTGTTTCCTGGTAATGGCACACCTTCTCCACATACCTCCAGAGTCAGTCTGTGGTGCGAAAACTTGTAACTGGTGCAAATTCACTAGAACTTTACTGTCTCCCAGGTAGAATCTTAGTTATATGGTAAATCTATCTAGAATAAGTGGTTTCCTGGAAAAGACATTCAAGAGAGGGTCTTTTTTTTTTTTTTAATTTTGCCAAGTTGGGAGGACAGCAGATTTTTAAAGATTTTATTTTTTTCCTTTTTCTCCCCAAAGTCCCCCAGTACATAGTTGTATATTCTTCACTGTGGGTCCTTCTAGTTGTGGCATGTGGGACACCGCCTCAGTGTGGTTTGATGAGCAGTGCCATGTCCGTGCCCAGGATTCGAACCAATGAAACACTGGGCCGCCTGCAGCGGAGTGAGCAAACTTAACCACTCGACCACGGGGCCAGCCCCCTAGGACAGCAGATTTTTAAAAATAAGTATAATCGGGTCAAGAAGAGAAGACAAATGTGTTTTGGAGAAAACATTATTAGTTCTTTAGGCCTTACTGTCTGTTAGGTATGTGGGAGGGGGGCCAGGACACCATGGTTGATGGTTCATCCAGAACCACGTGGAATGTGTTTCCATTTCCTATAGGAAAATTTAGGAGCTGTTAACAGAAGAAGAGGGAAAGGATGCTGGGGATTAAAAAATTGCAACTGATTTGGGTAAGTATGAGGTGGCTGCCTCATTTTACCCCTGTGAGCATCAGCTTGCCTCTCTTGTGCTGATGGAGAAAGATATTGTGAAAAGCATCTTGCCCATTGCTTGGTACAAAATAGAGCTAGAATAAATGGATGCTGTAGGTTTTCATCTTTCTTTACTGTAATTATTAATAAAACATGATGCTCCACAAAACCTAACAAGGATTAAGCCTGCCTGAGCTGATCATATGCTTGCTGCATTCTGATGCGTGTCACTTTTGGATGTGATATCAAAGACCCATGCTTTGTACATCTTTCTGTTCTTTCATCCTTAGAGTTTTGGCAGTGACTGTCCTCATGGTTGCAATGTGGCTGCCTCCACTCCAAGCATCATGTCCTCTGAGGACATCATTCCAGATGAGATGGAAGGGAGCTCAGCAAAAAGGGTCTCCTCCTTATGTACTTCCTTTGTATTGAGGAGGGAAATCTTTCCAAGAAGTCGCCTTGTAAACTTCTTATGTGCCCTTGACGGGAAGTGTGTCACATGTCTAACCTAAACCAATCATTGGTAAAGAGAGTGTGGGAACCATGATTGGCTGAGAAGAATCATGATTCTTCCACGGAAGCTTGAAACAAGGAAAGAGGGGGCATGGTCATTGAGTAGGTGGGGTCTGCTATACCTCCTTTGTCATCTCTCTCCTTCTCATGGCTTGTTCCCTTGAATTCTCTCTCTGGGCAGTTTCCTCTGGCTTTTCAAGCTGCTCTATTAGAATGTCAACAACATAACAGGGATCTGCAGAAAATATTAAAGAGAAATGGTTTGAAATGCAATAAGCACCTTGGAAGCCCTCGTTATCAAGCATTTAATGGAATAATTACAAACCTCTTCCACTTAGGTCATAGCTCAGAAGATCTAACCACCCTTCCTGGGGATCACTTTGTTAACCTACTTTGAATGGAGCACTGGAAAATATTTCTTTACACAAGTGATTATCCTGGATTATTCATGATTTCAGTCTTGTTTACCCCCATTGTTGGGTCAAAATGGGGACTTTTATGCTCGGTTCTGGAGTATCCCTGGGAACGAGATAGAATGACAGAGTGGTTGTCTAATCTGGGTTGAATCTGATCTCTATCGCTTATTAGCTGTGACACACTAGGCAAGTTGCTTAATATCTCCACACCTCAATTTTCTTATCTGCCAAATGGGGCAATAATTGAGGGTGGTTCTGGCATAGTGTCTGCAACAATGTAAGGATGCAATAAATGTTATCTGGAATTGCTTTTGCCATCATGCTCTAGTCTTCAGTTTGCCATTGAAATGAGCACATGTTACAAAGACAGCTGTAATTGTCAACTTTGAAAAGTAGATTATGCCATGTGGGAAACTCCAAGGTCAGTCCATCCAATAATGGTCAGCCAACAGTTATGAGGCACTGTTTGTATTCTTGGCATGGTGCTGGGCACTGCGATTCTATTCAAAACCTGATGGGGCCTTTCAGCTTTCTGAAAATGTCTCTGACCAGTCAATTCAGAGTAGTTAAAATATACCCATGGAATTGCTGTCCATTTGTTTTGCAGAAATGAGTTTCTTTGGGTTGCATTGACTGATTGTGTCACCCAAAATAGTCACTTCAGGTTGCCTGAATTGATTCTGTCCTGCAGTGGCTGTAAGACATGGAGTATGTAACGTGGCAGCGTGGAGAACAGGGAAGACCCGGAGCTGGGCAATGCTGGCCTCTACCATGTCTGTCCACTAACACATCATCACTTCGGGTAAGTCTCCTCGCCATTCTGGGACCCCTGATCTCTAAAGTGAGCATTTAAATATCCCTCTCATTTGGCTGGTTAGTGCAGAGTAAAAGATGAAATGATTTTGCTGTGGTAATTATTACTACGGTTACTCGTTGCTGTCCAAGAGGAGAGTTCTTTTTGGCCTCAGAAATTCCTTGGGTCAAGGACTATGAGAAGGATTGTCCTGTGATCAGTTCTTTCCAACTCTCTAAATAAAATTCAAGCTAAATTGAAGAGGAGATATAAACAAACACCTCTGACTTGATCACCTGGATGTCTGAATGGACTAACGTGGAAGCTTGGGTTCTCTGAAAAGCACACAATAAGACAGGATTGGGTGCTCAAGAGATTTATTGGAGGAAACACCTGTGAAGAAAAAAGAAGGAGGAAGTAGGAGGAGGCAGGGAGAGCCTTCAGAATCTGATGCAGGTCTCACACCTGTGAAAGGAGAGGAGGATGGAAGGAGAATTGGGTAGAAATAGCCTCAGACTGGAGTGAATTTCTAAAGTCTAGTATTTGGCGAGGCCAGTGGGAGTCCTTCGGGTAAAATTGCCCATGAGACCAGTTCTGTGTCCCAGAGATGGGCCTGGACTAGTACCCTTGCCATGCTTAGTCACTGGCAGGGGGCAGCCTGGGGTAGGTGTGGCCTTGGCATGAATACGGTAGTGGATGTAGCAGCTGGGGTGTGCAGTCAACTATGCTTCCCATCACAGGAGACCTGAGCAATACATTTTTATGGCCACCCACCAAACTGTTAGAGGTTTTCTCTTTGAAACACAGATCTTAAGGAGTTTAAAAAACAAACCAGGACATTTGTGATGATATAAGTTTTGCACCCCAAATCAACGTTCCTTTCCCTTTTTGACTTTCAGTTCCTTCTCCGTTTCAGCTAGACCAATCATGTTGAAAACCCCACCCAGGTTTGTTGAGTTCCTCATTTGATAACAAAAAAAATCTGTATGTGAATAAGCCCCATGAACTTTCTTTGTCTTACCTTCTCAATGAGTTTTGATTTACTTTCTTGGGCTTCTTATGTTTTCCCCTCTTTACACCTCCATCATTCCTTTGCATGGGAAAGCTCATTGAGGTCAGTTTGCTTCCCTGCCTTGAAGTCAGACCAGAATGGACCCAGTTATCCAAAGAGTTTGGACAAGAAGCAGGACATCCAAAGAGATACAAAATGGAGGGGAAAAATTCTAAAGGAGGCAATTCACAGAATATGAAAAGGAGGCATTGGAAGTGTCTGTGGGGTTTGCTGGACATACAGGATTCTTGAAACCTGTCCTTATAATGAGGTACTGTGTGGGTGTTCACTGAGGGCCTAGGATTGGGCTTTCTAGAGTCACCGAAAATAGTTGTTTATAAGATGTTTGAACAGCAGTTGGGTTCTTTCAACAGAATATAGGTTATTCTTCCCATTGAAAAATAAGTTGTGTTGATGGGGATTGTGGCAGAGACTAGCCAGATGCTCCTCAAACCTCTTTCTCTGCCTTCTGAATATGTGACTGGATGGAATTTCCTGCCTCCTTTAGAGTTAGATGTTGTCATGTAACAGAAGCTACAGCCAATAGCAAGTAGGCAGAAATGGTGAATGTCACTTCCAGATCTGCCAGTCCCCGCCAGGAAATTCTCAAGTTCTCTCCCACTCCTTGCCTGCTAGTTGGATGAAGAGGGTCCAGTGAAACTCCAAGGCCATTGAAGATGGCAGAATCACTGAATGAAGGTGCCAGGGTCCCTAAATACCTGTGAAAACTTATTTGGCAGCAACACCTGCCCTGAACTGACATGAAGCTGTCTGGACCCTTTATTTATCCCATTTAGTGTGGTTATTCACATGCTTCATGGCGGAAATACTAACGTGTTTGATTATAGGGTACTCTCTAGTCCCTGCTGGGGTATTTCATAATTTCACTATATGCACTATGTTACCTTTCTAAAGTCTGAAGTGATGAATAGCAAAACATATCAGGAAGTGAATTTTTAGAACTGTACTAATCAGCTACCTTTGCAGGGAATTTGTAATTCACAAAGTGCTTACGTTTGTGTCAGATAGACTGCTTCTTTCGACAAGGCAACGTGGAATCACATAGCGGTTTTCCGGCCCTCCAGCTTCACCTTCCATCATGCCCATCTCTCTTGCTCAGTTGCACTGGCCTCCTTTCTGTTTTGTGAATAAGCCCCCTCTGCTGCATATCTCAGGGGCCTTGGACTAGCTGTTCCCTCTGCTTGGAAAGCTCTCCTCCTGGCTCATTATGGCTGTCTCCCTCTCATCTGTCATGTCTCAGTTTAATGTCTGTTCCTCAAAGAGCGCTGCTGTAACTCGACACCTAATGGTGGCCTCTCCCAGGTCCTCTCAATCACGTCACTCCATCTATTTTCATCATGGCGCTTCTCGAAGTCTGTAATTATTTGGTTGATTTGTTTATGGCACATCTCCCATTTAACGTAAGGTCCGAGATGGCAGGAAGCCTGCCTGCCGTTCACAGCCGTGATCCTAATGCCTAGTGCACTATTTGTGGAATAAATGGATGAATATATTAATGAACAAGCTGTAAAACTCAAATCCCCTCCAAGTCTGTGAGCTCCCTGGTGTTAGGGTCTTTGTCTTAAGGTGATGACATATAATGGAAAGACTATAAGTTTTGTTCTATGAGGAGACACAAAATGGCTGTGTGACCTTGGGCACATTGCATCACCTCTCTGAGCCTAGGTTTCCCTTCTTGTCTAATGAAGCTAATAATAGTGTCTACTGCACTGAAATGTGAATGATAGAGTGGTAATAAATGTGACGTTCATAGCACAGTGCCTGGCACAGTGTAGGTGCTTAATAAATGCTGGATGAATGAGTAAATAAGCCTCAGGAATGAAGACACATAAACTTTTGTTCTCTGCCCTCTTGTGGTGGCTTTACCTCTATAGTCACAAAGAATCCAGATGGATAAAGAATTGGAACATAGCAACAGCAAGCCAATATTGAGCACTTGCTGTATGCAGCTATGGGTTAAGCACCGTATGACAAGTGGAGATGACTAAGGCATCTTCCCTGTTTTCAAAGAGGTGGCATTTCAACATGGCATTAGGTATTCAAAGATATTGATGGATGGAGATAGGGGGTTGGGAACAGCATGGTCAAAGCCATGGTCATAGGATGAGGATAGTGGTTTGGGGAAGGCTGAGGAGTCTAGGATGTGGGAAAACAAAGGTGAAGATGTAGCTGGAAAGTTGCCTTGGGATCAAACATGTGAAGATTCTGAATACCAACCTGAGGAAATTGGATTTGATTCTGCAGATAATGGTGAGTCAATAAAGGTACTTGAAGAGAGAAGTGGGATGACCAAGCTAGCAACAGGAAGGATGAGCTGAGAAACAGCATTCTGAAATGGCATATCTGAATAGCCCCAAAGCAGGCAGTCCCCCTCAGTGGGTTGGGTCAAACACCTTTGTCAATAAAGGAAGGTTATAACGCCTTTATTTTCATTCAATCAGTCAACGTGGGAAGTCTCTAATAATGGGCCATTGGGAGCTAGCATTGTTCTCTTCCCTGTGGGGAGAAACACAGGAGGTGGAGGTTTTCATCCCAATCATACATGAGTTTACTGCAGTTGAGGGGAGAAGAGTCACACTCACCTGTGAAGTCACAGTGGTTCAATCAACTCACTCTTTCTGAGCTCCTGCCTTGAGTCAGGCACTGGGCTAATGATGCGGCATAAGAATCAAGGCACATCACCTGCTCTCAACAGGCTTCCCGTTCTCCTTGGAGAGGAGCATAAGTAAACAAGCCACCAAGGAAGTGCATGACAAAGAGCCAACAAAAATGGAAGTGATGCTAAGGGATATGGAAATTTGGTGGGAGAAACAGAATAATAGAAGCTGGAATAATGGAGAGAGACTTCTCCGAGGCAATGGGACTTCAGCTGGGTTTTGAATGATGGCTTTGAGGAGTGACGCAGATTAGTAGGAAGACAGCATTATATAGAGTAGGAATGTGCACCTGTTGGAGTCTGACTGTCTGGGTGGTGTGGATCCTGAATCCACTGCTTAGCTGTGTGATAATTAACTAGAGAAATTTACTCTCTGTGCCCCAGTCTCCTCACTTGTAAAGCAGGAAAACAGGGAGGAACACACTCATTGGGTTGTTGAAAGCATAGAGCAGGGAACAGCAAACTTTTTCTGTAAAGGGGCAGATAGTAACTATGTCAGGCTTTGCAGGCCATGTGGTCTCTGTTGCAGCTACTTAACTCTGCCATTGCAGTAGGTTATCCACTGTATGTTTGTGACCCCGAAAATCTGTATGTTGAAACCCTAACCCCCAATGTGATGGTATTAAGAGATGGGGCCTTTAGGAGGTAATTCGGTTTAGATGAGATTGTGAGGGTAGAGCCCCCAGGATGGGATTAGTGTCCATATAAGAAGAGAAAGAGACTAGATCTCTCTCTGCTCTTCACCATGCAAAGTCAGGGGAGAAGATAGCTGTCTGTGAACCTGGAAGCGTGTTCTCAGCAGATGCTGGATCTGCCAGCACCTTGATCTTGGACATCCCAGGCTCCAGAACTGTGAGACATAAATGTCTGTTATTTAAGCCCCCTAGTCTATGGTATTTTGTTGTAGTGGCCCGAGTGGACTAAGACACAGTGGAAAGCATTGTAGACAAGAGGTAAATGAATGATTATGGCTGTATTCCAATAAAGTGTTGTTTACAGACACTGAAATTTGATTTCATATCATTTTCACATGTCATAAGACATCGTGATTGTTTTGATCCCACCCCCCCTCCCCCAATCATTTAAAAAGGTAAAAACCTCTGTTAGCTCTCTGGCCATACAAAAGCAGGTGGCATGCTGGATTTGGTCCATGACCCATAGTTGCTGGCCCCTGAGATAGAGTAACGTGTTCCAAAAGTTAGCTGTTGTTATTGTCAGCCCCACTTCTCAGATGGGCAAATGGAGTCTAGACAATTCATACCAGACTGAGGACAAGAATTT